TGGTTTTTCGTTAGCTAATGAAAAAAAGTGTTCACTAAATAGTTCCGTGACAATTTTAGGATCTTCCAATATTTCTTTGTCCATAATAAATATGTTCCCTTCCGATTTCGAACGTTAAAGTTTATTTTTGAAGAGTATGGTGAGTGTAGAGGAGTTATCGATAAGTTCGACAGCACGTTTTTCATATGCGACTGTTTTTTGTGTGTGCGTATTGACTCTGTCGTTGTTACTAAAGAGGAAAAGTGATTAAAGTTATGAAACCGACTACAATGTCTTTGAATGCGTCTTCATGTACAGACAGGTATATACAGATCTTTAGATAACTTAGATTTTTGATATTCTAGAGGTGCGATTTTGTTGAAGATATTTATGATGTTGTGATAGAATGTGTTAATTAGTGTGTCGGTATTTTTTGCAGTAATAAAGGTTCTCTAAACTGTACTTCTTAGGTAATTTTGTAAGTTCTGATTAACCTTGTGATGCTTTCTAGGAAGTGTTACGGTTTTGCGTCTATCGGTTGCGGTGTTTGTATTCAACCTATATATGACAATTTTATGATCACTACCTGGAAACGTTTTTTCTGTAACGACCGAACTATCAATATTCGGTGTGAACGCAGGACTGACGAACCAAAACGTATTCCAATACGCCAGACTACGCTCTTCTGTATAGCCCACTAAGCGTTTTTGAGACACCCGTATTAAATTATATCAAAACACAAACTCTGTGCTCAATGTAAACAGTTCTAATTTAGGAAATAGAACAAACTATATCAAAAATACAAAATACCTCAAACGGTACAGCCTGTGTTATACAGTCAGAAGTTTCTCTAACGCAAAATAGCGCGCTAAACAATAAAAGAAACAGCCAATACCAAAGGATTCAATACCTGAGAATCAACAAATATATTACCAACAAACGGGATCAAATATCTATCTGCAGGGATCCCAGAAATCCTCCCAAGCAGACAGTCAAAAGGTCAACAGTCACACACTGAATCACGTCGTGACCTTGAGCTTAGTCAAACACGACCTTACTGTCAATAGTCCGGCAACATGCAACAGAAAATGAGGTAACAAAAAGATAAGTCTTTAATCAAAATCACATAATAAAAGCTCAAACGAGGAAGACTGAAAGCATAAAGTGTGGTCAAAAGAGATCAGGGCAACGGTTAAAATACGCGGCAGTAAGAAGTTACAAGTAAATGAACGTACTGCCCAACAAAATGCTGTGCAGAGATTTTCATCGTTCGCTTTCTGTTGAATTCCAATATACACAGTATTGGGTTTGAGGCCACTAGTAAATACTAAGTCTAAGATATTTTGATGTTTGTTAAGGCTAATGACGTATTGAGTCCACTGTCTGAGCTCTAGTCACTCCAAAAATTTTTCGTAACGTTTTGGCGTCCACAGTGGAAACGAAAAAATTTCAGGCATGTCGAATTCTCCACAAATAAGCTTGCTTGTGAATGAAATGGATTATGCTAGTGTGAATATCATTTTAAAACCCTCTAAACAAACCAAAGGAACATACTTTTGTTCACATGATAGCGTGATTGTGGAACGTCGGATAACCACAGTAGAGAAAAATGTTTAAATGTAGCAATCGAGAACTAATTAACGAAACAGATGTGTGTGTCTAAATGAAACAACTATTGAATAAATTGGTAGGACGGAGTATAGAGGAAATATTGAATAATTTATGATTGATGAAATAACTGGGCGTAATCACTCCTTATCATGTGAAGACATCAATTATTTCAGACGGAGAATCGCAGTCTGTACAACATACTCAGTCATTCTGCTTTTAGTTAGAAAAGTTTGCTTAATAGACTTTGGGAGGAAGACCTCGGTTCACAAAACTAGTCCATAAATGCTTTATGCTTCATTCATGTGACTCAGCTCACCGAACAGTATTGTAGATTAGTTTTGATAAAATGTAGGCCTTAAATAAAGTTAGAAACAGTTTAGTAATGAAAGTGCTAAAATACCTAGTGAGAAAGTATTGTATGGAATAGAGTTTAGCTGTATTGTCCGAACGGTGGGCTGTGGTTTCCGGTATTTTGCTAACAGTTACCAGAGATGGTGGAGGAGATTTGTAGCTCAGGTAGATGTTTGCTCTCGGAGAACAGAACTACATCAAAAGTTACCAAATACATAGCCAAAGAAGATACTGAAGAGATAGTGATGGCGTAAGACGTAAGACGTAATTTGCACTTAAAGTGCACAGAATCAAGTGCCATATTAACTTTCTCATCTGACCATCTAACCGGTTTCTATGATCCACCTTCCTAATAACGGCGGTTTACTCTTGATTTCAGTAGGCTCTTCACACCCTTAAGGCTTTCGCACTGTTTTTAGCATGTATTAATTGACACATCATCAACGATGCTAAACTCTTCATGTCCTCTGTTCTTAATAACCGTTTTCTTTTTGCGAGGCATTCTTGGATGATATTTTTACTTGGCAGTTGCGAAACCAGACCCTCAGTGGTTTTCTAAAACAGATGGAAGTGAAATGTCAGCGAAAAGCAACTAATAAACATACCATGAGACTGACGATTTCTTAAGCTTAATGCACCCTATCTGCTTCTCGTTATGTAATTTTATTACGAATGATTTCATTTATTCCCTGAGAGTATCATGGGACCACAAAAGGTTGCCTACCAAGTCAGGGTGAGTTATGATAAAGAACAGTTAGACAGAGTGATTCAAACGTAAGATTACTTAGGTTACATATTCATACCATATTTACTCAACTAGAGTAGATGAATACTATCAACATCAAATTCATCATATCAGTTTTGGTCTAGAAGGTTTACATTTAAAGAACACCAAACTGAATTTCTATAAAGAGATTTACGAGTTTTTACTCTCTGTTAGTTGTTACACTGAATATGTATAGGACCATACAGAACAAAATAGTAAAACACCAGGATCTTACTTAAAATAAAAAGCGGATACTCTTGTATAGTTTTAATGTATATAAATGTTTTTAACGACGTACAGAGGTAGACGAGTAAAAATAAGGCATAATAAGGAGAAGAGACCACAAAAGTACGGAAAGTGGTTAAACCACTTCATGAACCATGTTATGTTGTCAGTTAATCAGTCCATGTTAGTCACCACTGATGTTGATGAATCTCAGCAAATCATTCGGCACTCAGTAATCAGTCCTTTAGTGTATAGGCAACGCGACTTGACAGATGATTCTGGCAACGTTCAGTAATCTTTCCCTCACCGCGCAAGCAATACCGATTGTATACGAAACACAACTTGTAGATGTACCAGGCGTATGGTCGCCATTAATGAACAAATGCACATTTAAAAATAAGTAAACATTCCGATAAGGTGGTGTGATGATATATATGCACTAATAAACTCATTCCTGGAACTCTCGGCTTTGCTTGAAACTTAGCGAAAAAAAATTAAAGGAAGACCCTTATATAGTTAATGATGATTTATTTCGATGGTTTACTACTATGTGAGGACCCTATCTATATCTTTCTTGCCTGAGCTTTCTGGTGCACAAAAAACCATTATTTGTGGCGCCTATGCAATTTAATTTTATAAAGTTTACTTCGTGTTGTATTTTCGCTGTGACATCTGCAGAAATTTCAGTTTTAGGGAGTCAGTATTTATTCAGGAACGAGACATAAGCTACGACTCCGATGAAAGGTCCTTCAGCTGTAGCCCTTCTCTTCATACCTTCAAAAATCATGGAGTCCCTGATATGCGATGATATATATGATTATTTTTTGTCCTTAAATTTCTTTTCACCCAAATAGTATGGCTTCAGGAAGGGTTACTCTTGTATAACCAACCTGCTGACTGCGGTGGGCAGATGGACAAGCATCCTCAATCACAAGGGAAAGGCTGATACAACTTACCTTGATTTCTCAAAAGCTTTTGATAGGGTAAACCATATGTGTCTTATCAACAAGCTCAGACAATTGGGTATCAAACCGCCTTTAATTGATTGGCTTAGTTCATATCTGACAAATCGACATTTTCTGGCCAGGGTCCACTCCATTTTACTACAGGCTATGGAATATCCTAGTGGGGTCCCTCAGGGCTCAGTACTATGACCTCTTCTCTTCTTGATCTATATATAAGATTTTCCTCAACAGTTATTGTCAGACTCATTGCTTTTTGACGATGACGTGAAACAGAGATACGCAACCAAGACAATATACAGGCATTTCAGGAGGATCTGACTCAACTTCAAAGTTGTGCAGACGACGACGGACTTACCTTTAACACTTCAAAGTGTAAAGTAGTCCATCTACGACATGTCTCAAACCACAGGTACAACTTAGGAAACTCCTCTATAGTAGTGTCCCGAGTCGAAAAAGATTTAGGAGTCTTGGTGCCATAAAATTTAAAGTCCTACGCCAACTGTGACAATAATGTCTTTTGAGCAAACCTTGCGAATTTTTCGCCAGTTTGACGGAAGAACTTCCACACACAATCTTCAACAGTTTCATTCGTCCCCATTTAGAGTACGAAAACACAGTATTTCTTCCCCCACTTCAAAAGGATAAGGACACTCTGGTGCCTATTCAACGACGAGCCACGAAATCAGTTCGGGGACTCAAATTTAAACCTTACGATGAGCGCCTCCAATCACTTAACCTTTACCCATTACAGTATGAGCGTCTTAAAGATGGCCTTCTGATGGCGTACAGTATCCTTAACACTTCTGGACATCCTCTTAAACACCTACTTAAGCTTAGTCCCAACACTAACCTAAGGGGTAACACCCAGAAATTGGAGATACAACATAGCAGAACGCACTGTGGGCACAACTTCTACTCCTTTAGAGTTATCAAATGCTGGAATTTGCTGTCGGCTGAGCTAGTCCAAGCAACTTCCCAGGAGTCCTTTAAGAGGCGACTTGATCTATTCTTAAGGATTAAGGATAGTATCTTACTATGATTCACCAATTTCTTTTTTCTCTTTTATCTTTAATATACCTAGGTTCCTGCCTGGGGGTATTGTTGATTTTCTGCTACTAGACGGGGAAGCCCTTTAAGTTAAAGCTTCTTCTATTCCGTTCACAACCATTTGAGCTGTAGGAACATTGTTTCACCTTCACACAGACCTTGTAGATGCGCGGGATACTCAAGTTCTTACCGATTACTATATATTGGTTTGGTGCGTTTGGGAATTCTGTAGCGAATTCAGGAAAAAACCCTCCAGATAATCAAAATCATCAGGATTTTCAAGTTATTACAATTCATTATAGCAGGGTCAACTGGCGTAAGTACCATTCATTGGAAAATATATGTTCTCGTTTTGAAAAAAGGCCTCGAAAAGCGATCTTGAGAAAGATGTGCTATTCTGAGAAAGATTCACTTTGTTTTAACACGTAGTGTTCTTGAGGGACGCATAGCTTTCCACCAGTTATGTGAAATATGTTGAAGGCAGTGTCTCACTAACGCCTTAGATGGGATATTGAAAAAAATCTGCTTTTCAAACGTATGGAATTAAGCGATATTTGCTGAGGTATTTACTTGACAATAAAGATCAGTGCAATATTTTTTAGTAGTCCCCTCGATAAAGGGGATATAGTGGTTCCCTCAAATATCGTATTTTTACCCTCAAAGTTAGTCTTTTTGACGGCCTGTTCTGATGGTTGTTGAGTATGTTTTTGTTCCCAGTCTCCTATTGAATTTCTCAGTCACAGGCGTACACCCTATGTTTCCGGGTGGCTGATCTCAATAGTAGACTGCCCAGGTATACCCTAATTGTATACAATTAGGTCTTGATATCTGAATTCATCATTTAAGTTTTCTGACGTGGGTGAAAGATGTAAACATCATACCCGAAATTATCTTGAGTTTGTTGCATATCATATTTAATTTGAGGTCCAGATTTTTCAAATTCTTTCGTACCCAGTAATTTTCACGATACCTCGGATATACTTCTAAAATTAGATGTATGGTTTGATGGTGCTACCTATATCCTGCTCTATATATACTCTCATTCCAGTGGTAAACTACGATAGTGAAGTGAGTCTAAATGTCGTCTGCATGTTGCCGGCTTCGTTCTGAGTAACCGTGAATATATAGTCCTATTTCGTTTTTTGTATAGAAACTAGTTCTTACTTAATTACATCATCCTGACTTACATCAACAAAAACTACTTAATTTTATATTATTGCTGGTAAGGAAATTTCTGCGTCACTGTGTTTTAGCCTTGTGATCTACATAGGAAAAATCTCTTAAATGAAGTTTATGCAAGTAGTTTTAAGTTTCATCTTGAACTTCCCATCAATCCGTAGTCAGATTGTATTAACGATGGATGAAGGAAATGGCAGATTCTAACAGGCTAGCAAACTAAGATATTTAGTGGATTTGGTATGATTTTCTTTCGATTCATAGAACCCACGTTAGGATAAACTTCGTCAAGGTCTCTGCTACTGCTTGACCGGGACTCCTTTTATGAGAAACTACGTCAGTTTCAAACTCAGGACTTTAGTTTACATTAATCAATTAGAAACTGTTTCCTCGTTTTAACCAATATCAGAATTCATAACTTGCATCCGCGTGCTGCCATCAGTGTGGATCGTATGTGTAGGTTATTTTCCCATGTGACGATTTCATACCCCCATTGTGAGACAATCAAATGTACTTATCTAATTACGCCTGTTACCATTCATGGAGAAGCATAGGCCGCTCATCAACAATCTGCTTCCAACTCTGTCCTGAGCAATCCTCTGCAGTTGATATTCATCCTTTACATGTCTGCTTTCAATTCTTGACGCACTGTGCTTTTTTTGGTCTCCCTCTTTTCCGCTTCCCTTCAGTATTCCAAGTTAGGGATTGCTTCATGATGCAGTTTGACGATTTCCAAAATGTATGTCCTATCCACCTCCAACGTCTTATCCTAATTTCCTCTTCAAATGGGAACTGGTTTGTTCTCTCCCACAGTAGGCTGTTGCTGATCGTATCCGGTCAATGGATATTGAGTATCTTGAGTAAACAACTGTCCATAAATACTTGTACCTTTTTGATTATGGTTGTAATAGTTCTCCAAGTTTCAGCTCCGTACAGTAGAACTGCCTTGACGTTCGTATTGAAGATTCTGACTTTGATATTGGTCGTGTTGTTTTGAATTCCTTATGTTCTTCAACTGTAGGAATGCTATCCTTGCTTTGTCAACCCTCGCCTTTACATCTGCATTGGATCCTCCACGTTTATCGGTGATGCTATCCAGATACGCAGAACTTTCCACATCTTATAGAGCTCCATTTAGTGTGATTCCGTTAATGCACACTATGTTAGATTTGAGGATCTCACTTTTCCCCTTGTGTATGTTGAGGTCTACTGATACAGAGGTTGTTGCTACACTGTCTGTTTTGACCTGCAATGGTAATGTATGGGATAGAAGAGCTTGGTCATCTGCAAATTCCAAATAGTCTACTTGCATCCAACCTGTCCATGTTATTCCATGCTTCCTTTTAGATGTGGAGGTCTTCATAATCCAGTCAACCACCAGAAGAAAGAGAAAGGATGAGAGTAGGAAGTCTTGTCTGGCTCCAGTCCTCAATTGAAATGCGTCTGTCGGCTGTCCTCCATGAACGTCTTTGCACTGTAGTCCGTCTTGAATGTTCTCCTATCCACACTGTCAAATGCCTCCTCATAATCAAGGAAGTTGATGTATGATGGCGAGTTCCATTCATTTGATTGTTCAATGATGATCCGTAGTTTGGCGATTTGGTTTGTGCACGACCGATCTTTATAGAATCCAGCTTGTTGATCTCGAAGTTGGGCGTCTACTGAGTTTCATTTGGTTCAGCAACACTGTTGGAAACCTTTCCCGGTAGCGATAGTAGTGTGATTCCTTTGTAGTTCTCACATTTACTCAGGTCTCCTCTCTTTGGTATCTTGATGAGTTATCCTTCTTCCCAGTCTGTTGGCACTTGTTCTTCATCCAAAATCTTCTTGAATAGAAGATGAAGCATGTTCGCAGTTACCTCTATGTCTAGCTTGAGTGTTTCGACTGGTATATTGTCAGGTCCTGCTGTTTTTTCACACCTGACTTGTGCGACCGTTACTGGAGTGACAACTATAGGAGTCTGTAGGCGCTGCTTCGATATCCGGTGGATTTAATGGAGCTGGTTTACCCGAGAGTTCCACAAAGTGTTCTAACCAACTGTTCCTCTGTCCTCGAATTTTAGTGATTGCCTTGCGTTGCTTGTCCTTCACTGGTCTCTCTGGTTTACTACATTTCCCTCTCAGTTTCTTCATTGTTTCATATTCCCTTCTGCCGCAGCTTTTTCTGCTGTAGTTTCTAGCTCTTCCACGTATTTCTCCTTGTCAATTCTGACGCTCTTCTCCACTTGCTTGTGTGCCTCTGTGTATTCAGCTTGTGTCTTGACTTTCTCTATTCTCGTTTGACCGCTGTCAATTGCTGTTTTTCTTGTTCTTGAATCTTGCACAGGGCTCCGATAGAGATCCATCCCTTGTGATGATGCTTCTTGTGGCCCAGAACTTCCCGAGACGTTGAAGTTAGTGCTTTTTTGGTTCCTTTGCAGTTGTCCTCCATAGTAGTTTCTCTTTACAAAGAACTCCGCAAGGCTTGAAACCTGTTGATGAAAGCTATCTTGAATTCGTTGAGTTTGTCAGTATTTTGAAGGAACGTTGTACTAAACTTTGTAGTGCTATTCCTCCAGATGTTCAGTGCTTCTTTAGCCTCAGCTTCATCTTGGCAACCACCAGATAGTGATCTGAAGCTATATCAACTCCTCTCCTGGCTCGCACGTCCTCCATTGACCTTGTGAATTTTTAGTGAAGCAAATACGATCGATCTGATACTCTGTAGTATGGTCCGGTGAGACCCATGTAGCTTTGTGTGTGTGTTTGTGGGGGAATATTGTGCCACTTATAACCATTTTGTTGAATGCACATATATTTGCGAATATCTCCCCATTTATGTTTCTTCCTCCTATTTCGTGTTGTCCCATGATATCTTTATATCCGGTGTTGTCCATCCCGACTTTGGCGTTTAGATCTGTCATCAGGATGGTCACATCCTTTCCTGGGCACTTCGCTATGATCGATTGCAGCCTCTTGTAGAACTGATCTTTATCGTTGTCATTACTATCACTGGTGGGTGCATAATAGCGGAAAACATTCATTGTGATTCCCTCCTTCTTTGCTTTGAAGGATGCTTTGATGATCCTGGATTCATGAGATTCCCACCTAATAAGTTCATCTCCTGCCTCTTTAAACAGCATCAGAGCAATTCCGTGAGTATGTGGAGAATTCTTCTCGTGACCGGAGTGCAGCAACATCTCTCCTGAATCTATGCTTTGCTGTCCAGCTTGGATCCAATGAGTTTCACTGATTCTGAGTTGTATCTCCTAATTTCCATAGCTATTTGACTGGTCCTTCCAGTATCCCACATTATCCGGATATTCCATGTATCTATAGTAGTTATTGCTGTGGTTGTTAGAAGGGGCATCGGCCTCACGACTTCCGAAGAATCTGGGCTTTCATCGTCAGGCGTCACGATTCTCCAACTCCCAGGGCAGGGTTTAAATTGTTTATTCTGGTTGGCGTTTTTATTTAGCAAGGTTGTTTTCTACGGGATGGGGTTGCCGATCCCATGCCTAACCCTCCTCCTTTACCCGTGCTTGGAACTAGCTGTAGCCCTAGAAGAGCTACAGATGGTACATGGAACGTCCGGACAATGTGGGAGACTGGAAAGACCACTCAAATAGCAACGGAAATGAGGAGATACAACTTGGCAGTACTGGGAATCAGCGAAACCCATTGGACCCAAGCTGGACAACAAAGGCTAAATACGGGAGAGATGCTGTTATACTCCGGTCACGAAGAGGAAAATGCTCCACACACTCAGGGAGTTGCTCTAATGCTGTCCAAAGTAGCACGAAATGCACTTGTAGGATGGGAATCTCACGGATCCAGAATCATCAAAGCATCATTCAAAACAAAGAAGGAGGGGATCACAATGAACGTTATCCAATGTTATGCACCCACCAATGATAGCAACGACGAAGTTAAAGATCAATTCTATGAGAGGCTGCAATCAATCATAGAGAAGTGCTCAAGAAAAGACCTCACCAGTCTGATGGGAGATCCAAACGCCAAAGTCGGAATAGACAACACCGGATATGAAGATATCATGGGACTACATGGACTGCGAGAGAGGAACGAAAACGGAGAAAAATTTGTAAATCTGTGTGCATTCAACGAATTGGTCATAGGCGGCACAATATTTCCACACAAACG